GAAACTAGAAAAGGAAAATCAATTTAAGCCTAAAGCAAGCAGAAGAAAAAAAAATAATAAACACTAAGAACAACACTGAGCCCCCAAATGTGACAACTTAGATTAAATGAATTTTTCAATGCTTTGAAAGATATAAACTACCAACAGCCATATAAGGTGAAATGGAATAATCTGAACAGAAGCATATGTATTAAAAATATTGGAATAATAATCTCCCAAAAACAAAGCACTGGTCCTTGACAAATTCATTGATCAAGGGAAGAAATTACGTAAGAAATTACACCAAATTAAGTACAATCTCTTTCAAAGAATAGAAGCAGAGGGAACACCTCTTAACCCATTCTACGAAGCCAGCATTACCTAATACCAAAACCAGATAGAGACATCACAAGAAAGAAAAACTATAGACCAAAATGTCTTATCAACAGAGATGCAAAAAATCTCTATAAAATATTAGTAAAACCAATCCAATAATGTATAAAAATAAGTACATTACATGACTAAGTGGGATTTATCTCAGGTATACAAAGCTGGCTCAACATTTGAAAATCGATTAATACAATCTACCACAGGGCAGCCCCAGTGGCTCAGTGGTTTAGCACCTCCTTCAGCCCAGGGCCTGATCCTGGGGACCCGGGATCGAGTTCCACGTTGGGCTCCCTGCAGGGAGCCTGCTTCTCCCTCTGCCTGTGTCTCTGCTTCTCTCTCTCCCTGTGTCTCTCATGAATAAATAAAATCTTTTTTAAAAAAAAAGTACTCTACCACATTAGCAGGCTAAAGATGGAAAAAGTAACATGATCGTATCAATCGATGGAGAACAAGCATTTGACAAAAATCCAGCGCTCATTCAGAATAGAAACTCTATGCCAAACAGAAATAAGCTTCCTTAGATAGATGAAAATTCTACAAAACCCTTTAGTGAGCATCAAACTTAATGGTGAGAAACTGGATGTTTCCCCCTAGTATTGGGAATAAGGCAATGATGTCCCCTCTCACTGCTCATATTCAACAGAAGTCCTAGCAAGTGCAGTAAGATAAAAAAAAAAAAAGAAATACTATGTATATTGATTGGAAGGGAAGGAATAAAACTGTCTGCCTGCAGATGACGTGATTGTCTATGTGAAAATACCAAGGAATCAATTTAAAAAACCTTCCTGCAACTAATAAGTGATTGTTTTAAGGTCACAGGATACAAGGTTAATATATGAAAGTCAGTCACTTTTCTTTACATTCATCAATACCTAATTGGAACTTGAAATCAACAACACAGAACCACTTACATTAGCATAAAAATGAAATACTAAGGTACAAATTAACAAATGCAGTCCCAACTAAAATATCAGCAAGCTGTTTTGTGGGGATAAACAAACTGATTTTAAAGTCTGTGTGGAAAGTCATCCCCCACCCCGCCCATGGAATAGCCAGTATAATACTACAGGAAAAAAAACTTAGAGAATTGATATTTCTGATTTCAGGACTATAAAGCTAAAATGATCAAGACTCTATGGTATTAGTGAAAAAATAGATGCATACATCAATAAAACAACAGAGAACCCAGAAATAGACCCACATAACTGCAGTTTGATGAAGAAACAAAGGCAATTCAATGGAGAAAGGATAATTTTTGCACAATTTGACACCCATATGCTAACAAGTGTATCTAGACCCAGACCTGACACCTTTTATAAATATTAATTCATGGACCTAACTATAAAACACAAAACTATAAAACTCCTAGAAGACGACATAGAAGAAAATATGGGTGACCTTGAATTTGGCAATGAAGTTTTATTTTTATTTTTATTTTTAATTTTTTTTTTAATTTTATTTATTTATGATAGTCACACACAGAGAGAGAGAGAGGCAGAGACACAGGCAGAGGGAGAAGCAGGCTCCATGCACCGGGAGCCGGACGTGGGATTCGATCCTGGGTCTCCAGGATCACGCCCTGGGCCAAAGTCAGGCGCTAAACCGTTGCACCACCCAGGGATCCCCAGCAATGAAGTTTTAAAAAAAACTCTGTTATTTTATTCCAGTTAGTTAGCACACAGTCTTAGTTTCCGGTGTACGATGCGGTGATTGAACTTCCATACAACAGCGATGCTCAGCCCTGCAAGCGCCCTCCTTAATCCCCAACACCTCTCTCACCTACCCCCCACCTCCCTTCGGGGAACCGTCAGTGTGTTCCCTGTTTTTTGTTTCCTCCCTCTTTTTTTCCTCTTTGCTTGTTTGTTTTATTTTTTAAATTCCATATATAAGTGAAATCACGTGGTATTTTTCTCTGACTTCTTTTGTTCAGCAATATGCTCTCCAACCATGTCTTTGGAAGGGGCAAGATTTCATTCTTTGTATAGCTGAATAATATTCCATTATATCTATCAGCTGTCTCACATCTGCTTTATCCATTCACCTATAGATGGACGTGGTAATGAGGTTTTTTTTTTTTTGGTAATGAGTTTTAAGATAGAACACTTAACTACACTTTATGAAGAAAACAATAATTAATTGGACTTCATTAAAATTTAAAACTCCCGGGGTCGCCTGGGTGGCTCAGCGGTTGAGCATCTGCCTTTGGCTCAGGTCGTGACCCCGGAGTTCTGGGATCGAGTCCCGCATCGGGCTCCCCTCAGGGAGCCTGCTTCTCCCTCTGCCTGTGTCTCTGCCTCTCTCTCCTCTCTCTGTGACTATCATGAATAAATAAATAAATAATCTTTAAAAAAAAGAATAAGATATATAGATGGCAGATAAATATATGAAAAGATGCTCAATAGCATTCATCATTAGGGAGTTATAAATTAAAACAAAAATGAGATACACTTATTGGAAAGACTAAGATCCAAGTAACTGACAAGGATCCAGAGCGACAGGAATTCTCATTCCTCGATGATGGGAATACAAAGTGGCAAGTTGCTTTTTGGCGGTTCCTCACAAAGCTAAGTAACAGTTATACCATATTATCCAGTGCTCCTCGCACTCCTTGAATATATATATATTCATACTCAACTGAACTGAAAAGTTACACACGTACAAAAACCTGCACACAAATGTTTATAGCAATTTTACTCATAATTGTCCCAAACTGGAAGCAGTCGAAGGGAGGTGGGGGATAGGTGAGAGAGGTGTTGGGGATTAAAGAGGGCGCTTGCAGGGGTGAGCATCGCTGTGTCCTTTCATAGGTGAATGTGATTCATCCACACAATGGAATATTACTCAGCACTCAAAAGAAATGAGCTATCAAGCCATAAAAAGACATAGAAAATCTTAAATGCATTTTAAGGGAAAAAAAACAACCTGCAAAGCTATACACAGCATGGTTCTAACTCTATGACTTTCTGGAAAAGGCAAAGCTGGAGACAGCCAAAGGACAGGGGTTTGGTGCAGGTGGGGAGGGAGAGATGGGCGGGTGGAGCGTGGGGGATGTTCAGGGCAGTGAAGTCACTCTGTGTGATGCTGTAATTGTGTGTCCCTGTCATGATGCATTTGTTGAGGCCTCTAGAAATTTCCAGCACAAAGGGTGAGCCTTCACGCGTGCGCATAAACCAGTCACTTAGCGGTTGGGGGATTCCACGAAGGAATGCAGACTTGATGAGAGAATCAAACCACCATCTGAAAGCACCTCGCTGAAGGAGGCGAGAAAGGATGCTGATCGAAGCATTTTTGGAAATGAGCAGAGTCTGCAAGACTAAAGACAACGGGGCTGCACATGAACACCGTCCTCCGCTTGGTAAGATGTGTCCCGTGGGGACGGCCTAGCGAGTGGGTTCTTGCTGTGCACCCACTGCGACTGAGCACTTGGTGAGTGAGCGGGACGACGGGATCGGGTAGGGACGGCGGGTGTGGGGGGCAACGAGTCCCAGCAAGCGGGGAGGCCAGGACCACCCGCACGGTGACCGGCCCAGCGAGGGCTCGGGTTGACCTCACGCGGATTCACGGTCACACGTGGAAGTACTTGCAGATGTGTGTGTGCGCGGGCTGGCGCGCACGTGGGCCTCCTTCCCTGTGAGCCACGGGACCTGGAGAGGCCGCCTTGGTGGCAGGGAGGCGGCCGGCCCTTGGTTCCCCAGACCCTCCCCGGTGGGGGCAGCGGGGCTCCTTGGGGAACTGCTGGGTCCAGGCTAGGCCACAAACACGGGTGCGTCGGGGCATCCGGTCGCGCCAGAAAGTAAGTGCCCCCCCCAGACAACACACCTGCCCGCCCCCCAGCCCACAAACAGAAGCCCAGGGCGCTGGCTTATGTGTGACGCCCCAGGCCCACGGAGAGGCTCCCACAGCTGCGGACGGGCCGGGCCAAGGAGCGGAGCCCCAGGCTGACGGCTTCCACCCCGCACCCGACCCACGGCCTGATGTAACCAGGGGAGAAGCAAATCAATAGAAGGGCGAAGGGAGCCGGACCCCCGCGGAGGCGCCTCTTCCTGAGCAGGGCTCACCGCCGCCCCCTGCAAGGCACCGAGGCCAGCAGCCCTCCAGCTGCCCCCGCTGCCCGAGCCCTGCCTGAGCAGCCCCAGCTGCGATTCTGAAGGCCTCGGGCCATGTTCTTCCTCTGCCCGGGGGTCGTCGGGTCCTCCACAAGGGTCCTCCCGCTGCCCCCTTAGCACAGCCATGCCCCGGGCAGGTATCTCTCCCAGAGGCTTTTTTTTAATTCCCCAACCAGTGGGGCTGCCTGTGACCCCAGACCCCTGCCCAGGCTGCCCCTCTGCACAGGAGCCTCTCCTCCTGTGAAGCGGGTTTCTAGCCCACGGCCAGGACGCACAGAGCATTTGCAGACAGAGCAGAAAGCGGGGTGGGTGGAGCGACCAGGGCACCCTCCAGATCTGCTGAGGCTCAGCCCAGGGCCGCATCTCAGCTTCCCCGGCCCCCGTGGACAGGAGCCGCCTTCTCCCCGCCCCCCGTGGACCGAGGCCGGAGGACACAGCTCACTGCCCACGGGCTCTGCACCCATCCCCACACCGGCCGCCTCACTCCCATCAGGCCCCACCCCGTCCTCGCGGGTGCGCAGGTACCTGGCCTCGGCGCGTCTCGCAGTTGTGAAGGTAGCTCAGGTGGTAGATCTTCAGGTTTAAGGTGCCGAAGTTCAGGTACTTCAGAAAAACCTGCAGCAGGCATTAGAACAGCAGCAGTTAGAAACCCCGGCGGCTTTCAGGTGTTCAGGTGTGCGAGGCGGAGACGCCGGCTGCCTGGCCCAGCGGCCTCCCGGGCAGCAAGCTGGGCGGGGGCCGGCGGGGGGGCAGGACCCACGGGGGGGGGCGGGAAGAAACTCACGGGGGGGTGGGACCCACGGGGGTGGGACCCAGGGGGGTACCTACGGTGGGGGGCTGGGAAGAGACCCACGGGGGCAGAACCCACAGAGGTGGGAAGAGACTCACGGGAGTGGGACCCATGGGAAGAGACCCACGGGGGGGGGGGACCCACAGGGGTGGGACCCACCGGGGGCGGGGCGGGACCCATGGGAAGAGACCCACGGCACAGGGGGCGTGGGGGGGCTGGGCTGGGGTGGCCGCGGACACTCACGTCTTCGTCCTCGCTTGTGAAACACGGGCCGTCGAGCTTGTTCAGGGCCATGATGACGGCCACCACGTCCTTGCCGTTCATGATGGGTGTAGCCAGGATGTTCCTGGTCTCGTAGCCGGTCAGCTCATCGGCGAAGGGGCTGAAGTGGGGGCACTGGGGAGGAGGAGGGAAGGGAGGCGGTCAGCCTGTGGGCCCGTGCTCCCGCCCCGTGGGGCAGCCCCGAGCTCCGCCGAGGCCCGGCCCGGGCATCAGGTGCCCCTGCAGGATGAGAACGCGGCCTGTGGCTGTTCCCGTGGCTGCAGCCGTCTCCTCCCCATCGGAGCCCAATACCCCAGGCCTCAAGCACACACTCTCCTGAGGCCTCACAGGCTGGGGCTGGGCCTGGCCTGGGTGCTGCCGCCCTCTGGCCGAGGCAGCTTCGGGGTTACCCCTGGAGTCTGTGTCCCGGCCCGACCCGAAGCCCCTTCTAGCTCAGGGTGCCCTCTCCTCTCACCCCCACAGGCTCCTCCCCAAAACTCTGTTGGCTGCATAAAGGGAGAGTGTGAGTCGCGTGGAGGGTCCCTGCCGATCCCCTGGGGCCACGCTCTGCCAGTGTCTGCTCCATGGGGTCCGTAGATGGGGCCTTTGTCCACTTGTGGCCCCTGGGCGGGTCCTGCTAGTCTTAGAGTTGCTCTGGGGGCCTCTCCTTGCCTGGGGGCTGGTTGAGGGGCTCTTCTGTTGTGTCTCTACAGGGAACGGGTCAGCTGGGCTTGGCCTTGACCCCGGTGAGGCCCCTCGGGGTGACAAGGACTCTGTGCTTCAGAGTGGATGTGACTCCCGCTCCACCCTCTTACTTCCCGGGGCTGATATTTATTTGCGTGAGGCCCGAGTGACCAGACGCAGAGCTGCAGTGGACGGCTCAGACTTGGACTTCCTGGCTGGGGCCTGGGCCTACCACCACGTGACCCCAGCAAGGATGGGATGACCCCATGCCCGCTCCTCCCCGGTCAGTGTGGGTGGAGTGAGGAAACCCCTGTAAATGCTTCCTACACTTTGTTATTATTATTTGCTGTTAGGGGAGCTCTTGCGGGTTTACTCGAGGACTGTTGGTCCCGTAGCAGACAGAGGGGTGACTGACCCCCGTGACTTCCCGAGCCCACTCTGTGGCCCGGCCTCCATATGGCCCGGCCTCCATGTGGCCCAAGGGGGCCGCGTCCACCGTCCAGCCTCCGTTGCAGGGGCAGCTGGGCCACAGTTCGGGCCAATGGGAGGTCAGGTCCCCGCGTTCCACATTCGTGACCTCTCTGGTGTCCTGGGCACCCACCACTCCGCAGGTCTGCTGCCCTGGCCACACAGCCCAGTCTCCCAGCAGACGTTCCTTGCTGCCTGGCAGCGGCCATCTGGGGTCCTGCACAGTGTGCCCCGCTCCCAGGCGCCCCACGCTGTGCCAGACACCCCCTCGGGTCCCGCCGCACTGGGGCCTTCATGCCACGGCCTGGGGCTGCAGCCTCTCCCTGGAGGCCGCTCATCGGCTCCCGAAGCCCACGTGCACGGTGAGGGGGAGCCTCAGGTCAAGAGCAGGCTCTGGCCAGGAGCTGTGCTCTCTGAGCAACGTCGCCCAAGGCCTGGGGTCACCTGCATTCCACACGCTTGTACCCTACCCCGGCTGCTCTACTGAATCAGACCCTGCGGTCCCAGAGCCTCGCTCAGGGCCCCAACCCCTGGGGGGCAGCGGACGATGCTCAGGCTCCGGAGGCCTGGAAGCAGAGTGTCTGAATAGGAGCAGCCCCAGGCCCATTGCACCCTAAGCCTCATTCCCAGAACATCTGTGCTCTCAGACCCCCCATTCCAGGAGTTGGAACTCACCCATCACCCCAGGGAAAGGACCCTGCTGTCACCTTGCCACCTCCCACCGCCTCAGGCTCAGCAGGTCTAGGGGTCCTGTGACTGCTCTAAAGCGCCTCCGGCTCTGTCCCCACTGCCTGGACCCTCGTCATTGCTCACCTGCCGCACCCACCCTCCTGGCCCGTCTGTGCCCCAATGGCCGGCCTGGTCGTGCTGCCCTCCTCCCTCTTCTGAGCTGGCCTGGCGCCCAGAACTTCCCCACAAACCATGTCCCTCATGCCAGCCCAGCCTCCTTTGAGCCCACAACGGCTGGCGGCCACAACCGGGGTCTGGACACCTCAGCAACATGCAGGACCCTCGTGATGGGCTGTTTCTGAGCCCACAGCTCTTTGGAGGGGGTCAGAGATGACCACAGAGCCAGGGCCTGTGGCTGAGCTGCGGCTCCACCTCCTTCCAGAGCCTTCTCTGCCTGGCTGCCTTCCCAGGAGCCCTCGGGGGTCTCAAGAGCTGCCAAGTGGTGCTAAGGTGATGTCCTCCTCCTGCCACCGCACAGCAGCCGTCCTTGCTGCCTGCCAGGGGTCCCTCCCCTGGGCACACCCTGGTCTCCAGAAACAGCCCCCACGCTTTCTCACGGAGCAAGGGTGGTGCTGGAGTCCCGGTGGAGCAAGGCCCTCTGCCTCAGTCTCCCCTCTGAAGACAGTGTGCGTCCAGGAGGCTGACACTTGCATTGCTTAGGTCTTCGTGACCCACTTACTGGAAACTCGCTGTTGGGCAGATTTTGACTCTGCTGTCACTTCACCGCATCTGAGGTAAACAAGACCCGGCGCAGCCCTGAAGGTTGAGGCGCTACGGGCGTGATCCCTCGCTCACCGGGGAGAGAGCAGAGTGGCCTATCCCCGGAGGTGGAAGGTCTCGAGAAGCCAAGGCCTTAGGAGGGGGAGGGCACAGGACCTAGAACAGCCCTGCCACCTGAACCGGGGGGCAGCCGGGGGACAGACCCCTCGGGGCGGAGAGGCACCCCAGCCTCAGAGCAGGGAGGGGTCGCGGTAGGAGGGAAGGGGCGGAGGACGGCTCGGAGCACACCCCCGCTCCCCCGCCAGCTGCCTTGGCTTCCGGGTCCTTCAGGCTCCTGGCATCCCCATGCAGGGGGTGACCCATTTCTTAAAATGGAGTGAAGATGAAGCTAATCCCAGAGATTACTATATTCAGGTCGCCGGGCCCAGGGTTGTCGAGAGCAGAGAAGTTTAAGAGGATTGCCATCACTTCCTTCCCAGGCCGCAGAGCGCCTGGGGGATGTGCACGTGTCCGTGGGTCTCCCGGGAGCGGGGCCAGGGGCTCTTCAGGAGAGGCCCATCCCCATGGGCCGTCCCCTCCGGTTCCCTCACAGACAGCGCAAGGGGCTGATGGACTCGGGGCTCCTGCTCCCCCTCTCAGAGGCGGGAGGGGCCAGAGGGGCCGAGGCAGTGGCTCCTGTCCTCCCCCAGCAGGAGCTTCCTGCTCGCTCCTGGAGCCCCTCATCCCCGTGCTCCCCTTGGGGGCCTGCCCCTCACGCACACCCAAGGGGCACCTCCATCCCCTGGCCCCAGCCGCCTGGTGTGCCCCCGGGGTTCCTGGTCTCCTCGTACCTCCACACCCCCGCCTCCCCCTGCCCCTCCTACAGGACCCTGGCCTCCTGAATCTCAGCTCCGTGCACCACTGCCTACCCTTCCTGGCTAGCCTGGTCTCCCCGCTGCCTCTCCCGAACCCCCAAACTTGCCACACCAGGAGGCAGCATGGTCCCCTAGGAGGTTGTGAGTTTGGGGCTCTGGGGCCCACTGGCCCTTCCCTTCTGGGCCTTCGCACCAGCCCCTGCTCTGACCCCTTCCTCCCCAGTCCTCTGTCCAGGGACGTCTGGGTCACGGGGGCAGCGGCCCTGCCCAGACCACCCTCCCAGCCACCCCAGAGCTGGCTGCCTTCCTTTCTGCAGGCTCTGGCCCAGCCTGCCTCGCCCGCCCCACCGCCCCAGGCTGCCTTCCTGGACGTGGAGGTGCGCACATGTCATGCAGGCTGACCCCTGGGACCTACGGGGACTCCTCGCCGGCCCCACCCGCTGCGGCCCAGAGCCCACCTCTGTCACGTCCTGGACGTTCACCATCTTCTTGGTCTGAGCCACGTGGCCCACCACCCCAATATCCAGCGGGAAGACGATCTCCGAGTCGGGGGGCACCAGGCAGTCCTCCAGGGTGCTGCCCGGCTGCACGCTGAAGAGGCGCGTGGCGAGCTCGGCCACGCCGTTGCGCTGCCGGTACATGAACAGGCTGCAGCGGTCGGCGCGCAGGATGGTGCAGAGGCGCCGCAGGATCTTGAACACCACGCGCTCCATGTTCACGCTCTCCTGCATGTCCTGCACCAGCTCGAACAGCGCCGCGCTCTCCTCCACCTGGCACAGCTCGCGGAAGCTGGCGCAGTCCGTGGGCTGCCCGTCCCCGCAGGCGCCAGCCACATGCTCGGGGCTCAGCGTCTTCCCGAAGTACTGGTCCGTGAAGTCGGGGTTCTGGTCCAGGAAGTGCTGCACCTGCTCCTCACTGAGGCTCATGGTGTCCGACTGTCTGTCTGGAGGCACGGCCGGCCCCGGGCACTCGCACACTCCCGGCAAACACTGTCATCAGCAAAGCCTTTCTTAGCGACGATTACGAGGCCTGGGCGGACACCAGCTGACTCGCCCACGCCTGCCCCCCTTGGCCCCGGTCTAGGACGGTGCACCCTGGGCCCTGGGGCGATCAGACCCCTGGAAGGGGGGCGCTGGGGAGCAGCCCGGGGTGGGCGCAGCTGGGGGCAGGGCGCTGGTTTCCCTCAATCCTAGTCCCTCGACGCCGCGCCCCTGCCTGCCCGGGGCCTGCCCAAGAGTTCTGGGAGGCCCAGCCGCAGCTCCCCCCAATCTGGGGTGCTCTGACCAGCCCATACTGGCGTTGGGGCACTGCAGCCCAGCCCTAGGCCTGGAGGAGCCCTGTGCAGTGCCGGTGCCAGGGGTGAGGGGTGGTGGAGTAGGGGGTGGGGGAGGGGGGGTGTCCCTGAGAGCAGCTCCGAGGCTCCCCCTCCTGGAGGGAAGTGAGGAGAGGGCATGAAGGTGGCCCAGGCCCTGGAGCCCCGGGACCTCGAGATGGGGGTTTGCAGACTTTCTCTGCTTGGTGGTGGGGGGTGGCCTTGCAGGAGGGGTTTGCACGAGAGAACAGGTCACCTGAGTGACAACAGAGCAACTCTGGTAAGAGCCGCGCCCCGCGTCAGAAGCTGTCCTCGTGAATCCCCAGCACGCACCTTCTTCCTTGGCCCGATTCCTACTTGGTGGTGCTCCCCGCACACGCAACCCACACCCATGCCGTGGGCACAGCCGTGTGTCACAGACCAGCTTGTGCCTGGGTGTCTGTGCCTCGCACAGGACCGGTGCGCCCGGCCGCAGCCACCGGCTCTGTCCCCACTGCCTGCCACCTCCGTGGGGACCAGGCTGGGGGCCCGAGGGCTTGCTCCGCTCTGTGTGAGTCTCCAGGGACTGGAGGGCTCGTGACGTCTCTCAGACGTGTGTGTGCCTGCTGTGCGTGTGTGCACGCCGTGTGGACTGTGGGGGCTGGGGGAGCCGTGCTGCCCGCGGCGTGAGCCCGCCGGGCCCGTCACTCAGCAGAGCGCGGTGGCCCTGGCACCCTGGGCCCAGCTTGGAGGTGGCCGCCATGGCCCTGCCCACAGCTGCCCAAAGGGTGACGTGTGTGAGTGTGCACACGTGTGTGACTGGGGGCCGAGGGACTTCTGTGCTCACACACGTTTTCTCAGCACAAGCCTTGGTTGGGGGACTCTGCACGTGGGCTCTGGGCCGGCGCCTTGCAGCTGTGCTGGCCACAATGGGCCCAGCTGGCCGAGCGCCGGGCACAGGCCCTTGCGCTGCGACATTCCTGTCTCTGCTTAGTCACGCAGCAGACTCCTTTCAGGGATCTGCTCTGAACATCCCACTTTTTCTAAAAATAGTGAGTTCTGCCTGGGGACCCGGGGACAGCAGGGAGGCAGGTGCTGCACTGCTTAGATTTGGGGCTGGGGCTGGGGGTCACCTTGCTCCGAATTCAGTCCCCAGACAGCTTCCGGAGCCTTCCAGAGTATTGTCCCCAGACACTCCGAGCTGCAGTCCAAATTATGCCTGGTGTGAGGGACATGCCAATGAGCCAGCCATCTGGCTGGGCGGCCCAGGGCAGCAGGGTCTCCGGGGGGACACTTCCCAAATCCTTGGCTCACTCCACCCCCAGGCACACTCAGGGCCGCGACCCCCCTCCCTGCCTCCGTCCCCGCGCCCCTGCCAGCTGGCCCCTTCCCTGCAGGGCTGAGGGTGGGTAAGCCCACCTGCCTGAAGCCCTGGGCGGGGTGGCCCTGCTGGGGCTGGGGGCTGCCAGTGAAGGACGCACCTGTGTCTGGCGGCCGTAGGCCTAGGTCACGGCAGCGGGAGAGGCACGGCTGGGCGGGCACTCACAGGCACCACGTACTCAGGCCGGTGGGGTGGAGGGGGGCTCCCTGCGAGTGGGTGGGACGGAGGAGGGGGCTGGCTGAGGAGTTCGGGTACCATCGTGCCACAGCCAGACACCTGGGGTGCTGGCCGGAGCAGAAGGGGGCCCAGAGCATGGGGCGCCCCCTCAGCCTTCACCATTACACAGCGTGCCCGCCGGCCCTAGCCGTGGTGCCCGTGTCACTTCACCTGCGGGTTTCCTTGCCCGGCGGCCCGCAACGTTCGCAGGTGTGGGAGCCAGAGGCATCAGGGGTTAGCGTCTCCGGGGAGTCCTTGACCTGTGACTCACGGGGTAGTGCGCGAGTACCCCCGCTGCCTCACCTGTGGGCCCAGGTAGCTGCTGAGCGACAGGCTGGCGGGATTGGCCCTGCCCTTCCTCATCCCGTGATGCCGCGGCCCTGAGCCGCCCTGAGGGGTGGGCGCCGATGCAGGTAGGGATGCGCCTGCGAGAGAAGCCTGGGGCACACACGTCTGACTACACGTGTGAGGTGTGCTTGCCAGGCGTCTCTGAGGTACGCCCGTGAGCACACCCTTGAGACGCCGTCATGAGGAACGTCCGTGAGGATCACCTGGGAGGCGCGGCGGGCCCACGAGATGCACCTGTCGGCCGCACCTGCCAGCCAGGCCCGCAGAGAACGCTCGGGGGGGGGGGGGCGCCCGCGCACAGGGCCCATCGGAAACCACAGGTAACCTCGCCACGAGTGAACGTGGGAGATGCTCGAGGACAAGTGGGATTTCTCCTCTGCTAGGTTCCTATTAATTTTACCTCATCCTAATGTGGGATTTCAAAATTAGCAAGTCCACCCTGGGAGCCATTTATAACAAGGAATATGTCTTAAATAGCTATTACATGAAGAGAACTCCAGTTTCTTACCCCAAACCGTGGGGAGGATGCAATTCCACAAGGAGCGTTACGCCTGAAATTAAAATTAACCAGTGAGGAGGAATGGCAGGGGACGGCCGGGATGGGAGGCATCAGAGTTCACACTCGGAAATCTCATTTCGTTGCCAGAGCAGAGACACAGACACATCCATCAGGCCCTGTACTTCCAGAGCATGACTTCTGCCAAAGGGTGACAGGAGGGGTGTTAACTGCCACGTCCTCATGGGAAAGGACAGATGGCAACGTGCACGGTGGGGTGCGCAGGGAGGTGCCTCAGACGCTGACCTCAGGACGGGGCCTGGGGCATCGTGTGGGCTCCATCCTCTGCTCCCACCGGCTGCCTGACCTCCAGGAGTCTCGCAGCCCCTCTAGACCCCATGTGGCTTCTGGCCAACGGGATCTTGCTGGGGTTTTCTTGTGGGGGGAGGTACATGACTAATGGTGACATCAAGTGTGTGCCCTGAGCAGTAGCACGTGGTGAGGTCCTGTGGACGGCAGGCTGCAGGGGACCCGGTCCCTGCCCGACCAGGGAAAGAGGGGGAGGCTGAGGGTGTGGGAGGGAATGGAGGCCAAGGTGGGGGGCGGGGAAGGAGGAGTGCGGAGCTGCAGGTAGTGGGATGAGGGGTGATGCAGGCAACGGGTGGGTCCTGCGCTGGCCTGGGGCTGGGGCAGGTTGGGCAAACCTTGGCTAGAGAGTGATGCTGGACCCAGCACAGGAAGTAGGGCCTGGGCTTGGTGTTCGGGGAATGGGGTCCAGGGGCAATCGGCACTTACTCACTTTGTGGTCACCTGCTGGCAGGGCAGGACCAGGCTTGATGTGCCTGAGCCGCTGTCACGGGGTGAGGGGACTGCAAACCCTAGGACCACGTGCCTCTGCTGGGGATGCGGCAGGAGGGCCGGTGCCCTGTGTCCTGGGGACTGCCAGTGGGGCATAGAGTGTGGGAGGGGGCGAGAGGGGGCGGGAGGCAGATCGTACATCCTTCTGATGGTCTGGGGTCCCCTGCCCCATCCCAGCAGGGTCCCGGGTGCCTTCCCGGGCAATGTGAGCATTGGTGACTTGTTGTCCCTGTTGAGCCCGCCCCAGGGGCAGGAGATCAGGGAGGGGAAGAGCGGGAGCTGGGGCAGGGCTGAGGGCTGCCCACGGGCCAGGCCCAGCTGCTGGGCCAGCAGGGAGGTCATCTTAGGCTGCTGCCATCTGACCAGGGCTCCAATGCGACTTCAGGCAAGACCGGCAGAAGGCTGCCCAGCCGAGCCCACCCCAGGTGGCCGACCCACAGAACCAGGAGCAAATGAAAATGGGTTAAGCCACTAGTTTGGGGGCATTTTGTCATGCAGTAAATGTACCAGATACTCCTGGATCCTCTAGAAAACAGAGCCTGGGGCCTGGATGCAGAGCGAATACCTCAGTCCCAGGCAGCAGGGGGGGCGCAGAGTGAGTCTGGGGGTGCTGGAGCGAAGCCAAGCCAGCCCTGAGCCTCTGTCCCCAGGACCCCTGGTTGCTCATCAGGCTCACACGGAGGAATCACACCTCAGGGCAGCCGCAGACGAAGGATGGAGGGGGTCGCTCTGCTCCTCCCATGGTCCCGCTGCCCACTGGCCACTTCGCCCTTGGGCAATGAGCTCGGCTCGCCGGCCCGGGTCCTCCCAGCGCCCTGGGCAGCCGTTCAGAAACCCCACGGGTGGCATTTCATCCACAGCAGGAGGGCGGGAGATGCCCACCAAGGGGGAGGGTGCCCGCCCCACGCAAGAGACTGGCCAGGACCGGGTGGGCCAGTCAGAAGCGCGGAGGTGGACCCGAAGCGAGGACCGAGGCTGAGACAACTGCGGCGCTGGCGTGTCACCAGCGCACAGGATGCAGCCCTTCCACTGAAGTGGAACCTAGAGAGATGACACGGGGAACCGGGGAGGGTCGGGGAGCGGAGCTGGAGCCCCGAGGGGCCGTGGGAGGGGGTCGGGGGTCGGGGGTCGGGGCCCAGCCGGCTCTTCCTCGCCGCTCGGGACGTGGACCTTTCCACCGCAGAGCCGCAGCACACGGGCCAGGACACGGGCGTCCCGCAGCCTGCCGTCATCGTCTGTGGCGGCTCCCACAGCTCTGCCACGGGCGTCTCCGTAGCGTACCCAGCAGCCTCTTCGTGGACACTTAGGGCATTTGTGTGTGGGCTTTGGGGGAGAG